CAGACCTGCCACAGAACTGAATATGGGACAGCTTTGTACATGAGTTCAAAGCCAGTGTGATGTTGCCTGATTTTCTTACTAACATCATCTTTATCCTCTCTTGCCCTTCTTCTCAGTTAACAAGAGTTATGTACTGAAAGTGCTGAGATAAAGTAATGGTAAGGAGGATATCGCAAAAGGTATTTGAAAAACAGAAGTAATTTACTACATGTCTGCTTTGTTTTACTTCCTAAGCCTTCCTGTTGTGAAAGGAAATTCATCTTTTCTGGCAGATCCCAGCCTTTTTAGGCCTGAGAGCTCCCCAGGAGCTTTTGAGTGCAGGTAAATGGATGTGAGACTCCAGGAGTACAGTATAAGGAACATGGAATTCATATTGGTTTTTGGCTCTGGCTGTCATGTCTGACGTATAAGGAAAGTGCTACGTCCGTGCTTGCAAGAAGGATCTAGATGTAAAAACCACAGGGATAAGTCCTCTGCTCATTACTATGGTTCTGAAATGGCACGAATGGAAAGGTCATGTTGCTGGTGGGTGAAGCATGTAGGATCTACACCCAGAAAAGCCTCCACGTGAGACAGATGTCAGGGTGCTCCGAGCCCCAGGAGCCCATGACGTAAAAGCGCAGAGGAAGGACTGTGGATGGACAATAGGTGCAGGCTGTATTCTACGTGCAGCAGAGACCCCAAGAGTAGGCACAGGGGAAGCATCCACTGCCTAATCTAAATAGCACACAGAGTGGTTTTGTCCTCTTCTGTTCTCCTGCCAGTTTGCACATATGTTCTGAGTATACAGCCTGCCCTCCAAAGACCACTTACAGGGGCAATCACAGGGAAGCAAAGCAGGAAGAAAGTATCCAAAAAGGGAATTTGTTCAAGAGAAAAAAATGGAGACAGATGTAGAGCGACTAGTCACGGCTGGCGGTAAATAACCCTCTGCCTGGAGTGCTCTCTCTCTCTAAGAGGAGTTCACATATTCCATTTCATATTTCCTTTCCAGGAAGTAAAATCTTCATTTTCCTGGCATTTGTTCTTTTTTTCTTTCCCCTATATACTTTTTCCCTTCTGTATGGTCTAAAATTCTATTTTCCCTTTCTCTTCTACGTTGTGCTCTCTTTCAAGTGTGACATTTCTCCCATCTCCCTCTCATGCAGACATAACTTCCCTGCACTGTCCCGGGCAACATCTTTTGCTACAACCCTCTCATAGTCTCTGTGCCACGTGCACTTCCCTCTGTCTCTAGATGTGCATAAGCACATGCGTGTTTCACACCTGCTCCTGCATTAGAGACCCCACTTTTTCTCGTGTGCACACCTCCGAATTAGCAAATGCAACATACACAGACAGAATAGTCATCCTCTCGCTCCCATAAACCTGTCAAGGCATATAGGCCAAGAAGCTATCTCTGCGTAAATCTAAATCTCCTGCGAGGAAGCAATCTACACAAAGGCAATAAAGCCAAAGGATATATTATTATCTTTGGTGTGGATCCTACTGGGCTGGGAGGCTGGCTGCTGGCTCCTCTCTGAACTTTCCTTCCCAGCCAGAACAGCCATCCCACAGACAAGTCTAAGCTTCCTTTCCTTGGTCTGATTTCCTCCTCCCATTGTTTGGCCGGTAACCCAAAGGACAGGGTTTAATTATGGAGTTTGGAAACCTGGCTTACGCTACTCTGCCAGCACAGGATAGAACTTCAGACTGCCTTCCGAACTAGCATCATTCTGCACCGTTGATACCTGCATTATCCCGCGCAGCACAAAATGAACCACATGGAAGAAATGCCAAGTCAAACAAAAAGAGCGTTTTAGTCTTTAAACTTCTACCGCAAATTTCACTGGGAAAAAAACAAAACACCGCAGCTCAGAGATTATTGTATGTTAAAACTGTGCCATCATTTTGACTGCAGATTAAATAAACGGCAAGGCCTTTTTCTGGACAGGAGAGACATCGGAAAGGATGGATCTGAAACAGGTCCAGGCTCCAAAGCTCCCCACTCAGAGAGGAACGCTGTGGCAAGCCACCGGGTAATATGGGATTTAACATCATTTGTACAGCTTTGAGATGACCAATGTATTTTCTAGGCAGACACCCCACTGATGACTCATAAAACAGTTTATGCTTCTGGAGATAGAGCACCCATGTCAAATACAAAGGGCCAGATGTTTATATCAGACCCACGTGTGAGTTCTGAGGTAAGGCTGGGCACTGTGCACAGACCACAGCAGGATGTGTCCCTCATGGGGAGCCCCTTGTGCCAGTGACATACCACTGTTGCCCTGGCATGGAAGGACACTTCAGTACTGTTTTGTCCTTCACTGCTGATGAGCTGTGGCTCTTTAGGTAATCTCTCTGCCAGCTGTGATCTTGCAGCGACCCTGTTTTACAGAGAAGCTGAGGCAATGAATTAACAGGACAGGCTGCTGGAAAGCCATGACCGAAGCATTAGGGTGGGGCTGCGTGAACATAGCACAAAGATGGTTTGAAAGTGCATCCCACGCAGGCAGGATAAAGCTCTTTTTCTTCATAGCTGTGACAGTGATAGATAGCTTGGTGGATCTGAGCTGTATCTAGTTGGTACCTGGCTTGAGTCCCTGATGTTGCAAGGTGATTTTCTGCCATTTTACAGGCAAGACTAAGCAGAACCTGAGATTTTTCTGTAGTAAGTGAGAAAGCTCATGAGGAAGGAAGAACCTTATCTCCTCTGGCTTGTTCTTGCCTTTCTGAGCACCTCAGAAAGTTTGACACGGGTAGTTGTGCTTCTTCATGATGGGCTCTCAAGTGGTGCCAAAAGTGGCAGAGGTGCTTTGGAGGCGTAAGGCTTTAGGTACTCTCTTGTCCAGCTCAGTGCCACCATCTAGTCAGGACTTGGATGAGACAGAGGTAATGACCACATGTGGGGAAAACCACCAGACGTGACAGCAAAATTAATTGTCAACCTCTGGCTGTTGCACAAATGGAGAACATTTGTCATTAACAAAGAGTACCCCAAACTTTGTGGGGGGAGTTAGCCCCCAGTCTGACAGTGATGTAGAAGCAGTCACCCAGTCAGCTTTTAGCCATCTGTGTCTGCAGAGGAGGTTGTGATCTCTCCTTTTCAATGGGCGCTGAGCTTTTGTTCGTGTTTTTGCCGCTCCATGAGCAGACTAGTTTAGTACAAGGTGAAGCTCTGCCTTACATCATCTGGAGCCTGAAGCTGATGGAGGAAACAGCCCCTGGTGTCTACTGAGCAGGACACCTCACTGAAAACACCAGAGCCCTGGGGACAGTGGTGGCAAGGCATTCACGGGAAGCCTGGGACTTGTCTGCCTGCAGGTCCACCCTCTCCTCCTGCCAAAGTGCCACATCTGCACTCAATAAGGGCCCACAAGCTGGCTCCTCCTCATTAGAGGAGAGAGGGCAGCTGGCAGGGGATCCTCCAAGGGCTCCCAGGCGCAGGAATCAGTCCCCTCCCAGTCTGGAATAGCCCAAATTTGGTGACTTTCTGGGCATGCTGTAAAGGACAGCTGTTTGACAGGGTCTCCAGAGAAAGCTGTGGGTATGTTTCCTACATGATGAAGGATATAGGTGGCTGGCCAAGTGCCCATAGAATGGATTTTAATGCTGTTCAGGTTGAATTTACTTTTCTGTGCTATATGGTTCATTATACACAGTGCCTTGCACAAGCATGTGTTGTTTCAAAACAAGCCAAAAACATATGATTTTAAATTCAAACAAACAACAAAGAAAAAAAAAAAGTATTGCGAAAGATCCTCTGGGCTGTTTAGAGGGCCTTCTCAAACACTAGGAGGCTGAAGATGAAAGCACTGCTTGCCTTCATCTAACAAATAACACTTCCGTTATTTTTATTGGCAATAAATATTGAATATTTAGCTGTAAGCAAAATTGAGGTATCAACTTCACCTATGCATGTAGCACTGACCAAGAAAAATATTTTCAATAGTATTAAGCACCCAGATGATATGAATATAAGTGATCAATGGACAGTTAAGTATGTAACATAACATAACCCAAAAGATGATCAACAAGAAAGATCACACACAAAAATTAACTCAGAAAAGGCAGAAGAGCTGCATCCTAAACCTTATGAAGCTTGATATCTACACCTGGTGATATCTATTTTGATATGAAGCCTCCAATCATCCTTCATGGTATTACAGAATAAAACAACTCCTTCTGTAAGTACCTTAAAAGTCATTACCAAGTGAGCTCAACTGCTGTATAATGCCTGAAAAGCCCTTCTACCTTTTATAAATTTAGGGATATTTATTTAAACAGTATAACTGTAGGGCACAGCCCAGGCAGGTACTGCTTTTTGCTAAGCGATTGTCACTGCTATCCCAGAATTGAATCTGGATGTTTTGACAGAAAAAGACTGTCTATCTTTTGCTGCGTTATTTAAATACTTCAGATATTTGGCCAAAATACAGAAGTGACACATTATAGAAACATTCACAGCTGCAGGAGCAATAAAACCACTACAGTGTTTTCATTAGACTGACCTTTTCTCAGAAGAAGTTACAAGATGTTTAGAATTGATCACCTTTCTATGCAGCATTCAGTGTATTCTGGTAACAAAACTGAGCAACTGGAGATCATGTTCTCAGGCTGCTGAAAGCCGTAGCTTACCTGGCTCCACTTCATGCCATCCACTTGACTGGCTGCCGCTTCCTGGAGAGCGCCCTTGGCTTGTATAAAACGGCTCCTCACCAGGACTGTCCATCTCATCCTCCACAGACTTGAGACGTTTTGTAGAGCTGAGAAAGTAAAAACATAATAAATACTTCATGTATGGAAAGGAACAAAGGCACTTCTCTTAGAACATATCTTGCTAGCCCGGCTTGAGACTACCTTGGTTATGGAAACTATAATAGATTTAGGGCCCTGAGAAGGGGATTGCATGAGTTCTGTGTGGCCATCCTGCCCACCCAACCTCTCGGCATTCACGTTTTGATTCTGCTTTACTTCATTGCCAATAGCTTAAGCTTCAGTGAGATACACAACAGGCTGAACCCCAAAACATAAGTTAGTTTAACTAGAAGATAGCTTAGCATTTAGGCTTTTACAGATCAGAAAGTAGGATGTTTTTCTAAGCATACAGAGGTCAATAAAAAGGCAAGAATTTAATTTGTATTGCATGATTTTTGCAATTTGAGCGAATATGGTAATGACATCCAAGATTTATTTTAACTGTCAGATTCTTCCACAGCTTATTCAGAAAGTCAAGTTGTTTATCAGGTCAAACATATCTTCAATCTTTTAACCGTAGCCATTACATTAACCCAGATTTCAGTCCCATAAGAAGAAGTGTAGACGAATGATGGAAGAATACATTCTTGGTTCAAATGTTCACATAATCCTGCAAGTACAAGCATTTTACTGTGCAACTGCATGCCCCCAAGCATAAAAAGCCCCCAACAGGTATCTCTGGCCAGTGTCAGTACTAAAGAATTCCCTTGTGATATATCACACCTCCCTCACCAAAGGCTCAGGAGACAGAAGAGCCCTTTCAGTGGTTTCTGGTGGCCCCTGACTCAGACTCCAGTAGTTTTGCAGGGAGAGGATCCCAAAGCCAAAGACACTTAGCTTGGCTCTGTTTTCTATAATGAGTTGTACAGACTGCGTGGGGACGTTACTGAGAATTTCTCTTCTAAGTACTTTTCCAAGGCTGGGTCAGCTCACTTTTTTCACCAAATCTGTATTCTATTAAGACTTAAGGCATTCAAGAACAGGCTCCTCAGTGTAGGGGGAACATATTTAACAGAGATAAAATATTCCACTGCAATTTCTATTGGTTTAAAACTTGCAGCCTCTCTGCAGCTCCCCACCCGAAGCTCTGCACAGGTAGGAGCTGGTGGGTATGCAAAATCAGTTTGTGAGAAACAGGAATAATAATTCTTGCGGTATGCGTGGAATGCAGGTTTGGCCATTCCTTAATTTAGAGAATTGTTATGTGTCAATAGGGGAAATTGTGTGCATACAATATAATTACCGCCTGATAATTCTGCTGAGTCTGTGTATTTAAGGAATATTTTTTTTTTCTGACTGGGAACAGCCTAATGAGAGGAAAACAAACATATTACCAAGTTATTAACTACCCATGCTGTTTATAATTAGCTCCTTATCAGTGGTAGCTATTTGCAGAAGAATAGAAGAGCAACATCCGAGCTCTTAAGTAACATTAATAACCCCACTTTTTTGCTTCTGGAGTCACAACTAAATTCTACCTGAGAATGGTGCTAATGATGAGCACTGTAGGGTACACAGTTTATTCACAAGAAAGAAAGAGCACAAAGTTTTATTTGACGTGTAACGAGAATTGCAGTCACGGAGCTTCATAATGTGCACACTAAGTGCAAGACGTAGAATGTTCTTCCAAACACTGCAAACTGTAAGAAGTTATTGCTAAGAGTTTGTCTTTAAGGATATATTATTTTAATAAAAAAAGCAGCTATATTCAAACTATAGAGACTTTTTTACGGGTGTACTTGCTTACTGCAAAGCTGGTGGCACTGCAGACTGACATAAAAATGTAAAAGAAACCTCGGATGAAGTTAGACTTTCTTGTCATGTCTTTGAAATAAGTGATCTATTTTGGCTGTGGGGGGAAAAAAAATCAATCTGGTTCCTTAATAGTGTTCAAGACCACTAGAGTGACTGGACTTGTTTATAAATCTAATCTCGTGAGTGGTTAAAGTGAAAGGTAAAAAATAAAAAATATCCTTGTTTGATAGTTGGCATCTAAGCCAAAATCAAAATCAGACCGGATAGTCATCTGCATTAGCAATTCAGTTTTCTAAAGGCTGAGTCACAAATTTCTAAATGCTGTATCAAAACTAGAATGCATTATAGGCCAAGGTCCTAAAATGATGTTAGTCTCACAGATAGCACTTTTTACGATAAAGAATGCATATATGTCTATCTTAAGACTTTACTGCTAGGAAAAAGTGGCACATCTCAATATGCTCCCAATTTTCTTCTGCCACAAGTGACACTCCAACAATTCCAGTGGAACTTCACTGAGATACAAGCCAGAAGTTACACAAGTCAATGCTGCAGTTTTTCTTCAAAGCTTGTCTGTATAAAAAGAACTTTAACAGCAATCCAGTTGAACATTCAGCTCTGTGAATCTGAAACAGCTCCACATCTTGAGGCCCCCAAACAGCTTGTCAAAGAATTTAATGGTTACTTTCCCAGATGAGTAATGATGCTGGCCTGGGTTTCCAAGTAACTTGGTATTAGGCAGAGATTAAATTACCTGGTAGAGGATGTGCTAGGTAAAGACCTCCTCATCGCTCCTGGGCTCATGCTGTAGTATGAAGAACTTTCCAAATCTGAGAGGGAGAAATTAGGGCCTGTTCCTGCAGCTATCGGTGCTGGGGAAACAAAAAAGATTGCAGTCAGTAAGTCATGTGAATAAGGCATGAATTGCACTTCAAAATCACTTTCTTCTTCCTCATGAGTGTGTTTAGTTTTACAACAAGAACAGGTGGGACGTGGAAATTAGGAAATGCTAATGGTAACTGGCATTGCAATCAAGAAGATGTAAATTTTATCAAGAATGCAAAGTTCGATGACACAGACTCTTTCTTACATTCCTCCAAAGATGGAAAAAAAAAATTAAACAATTATGGGAAGACTTTCTTTAAGCACTGCCTTTCTGTTAATACCGTTCTTCTAACATTTAATGAAACTTGTTGCTTTCACTGTTAGGACAATGTTGCATTTATTGGCATAGTTACAAATAGGCTGCATCACCCCTGTAGTGTGCTTGGCATAATCTATAAGCAGTATAGGCAGGGAAATACACACCTCAGGACCTTTGGTATATACGTGATGTACATCCACAAGGACAGAGGTTACAAATGCTCCTTGGGGAAAGCACAAAACCAGATGAGAAACCCGAGTTCTTCTCGGCCTGTGAGCATCTGAGTTTTCCTCTGGCCTCTCCTCCAGCTAAATCAGAGCTAGAGACATACGACTCTCAAAAACTTTTATCCAGCAGTTAGCTTCCACTGTTCACCTCTCACTGCCCTACCCAGCACCTAAGTTTTATTGTAAGGGGTATGAATACCTTTAATTTCCCTGTCCTAGAACCTTACTTTTACATTAAAACATTATGAAGTCGTTTGCAGATAGAAGGCTATGAACTCCATGTGCCGCATTCTTCTGGGAACAGGAAAGGAACAGAGCAGTTTAATGTTACAAGTCAACAGACAGTGCATTTCACAAAAAAAACGCCACTCACTATACAGCAAATGGTACCATATCCACTGTTGCTGTTCCAGTGCTTTTTACAGGACAATACAACTTTGGGAGCTGACAACTACAGATCATGATTTTCTCTCACATTTCAGAGACATCTGAAAAAGGAGGCACTGCACAATAAAATGCACAAGCTTGGCCTGGAACGTATTGTCTGAGCTCCCTGATTCACAGCAACAAAGGCAAAGCAGTCTCAGTGCCACACAAGGATGCTGAGCCAAGTTTAATCTTTGGTCTGAGAATCTGGCCCATTTTCAAACATGAAAAAATCTTTCACTCCGACGGGGCAGGAGTGAGGAAATGAAGACAGGATAGCTCCCATCACCCAGCTAACATGCCTGGGCCAAAACGCAGGCTTCTGGGAGTGCTGCCATTGACTGTAATGGGGCCAGTATTTCACCCCAAGTCTTAAGGAGCTCACAATGTCAGATTTGACAGAGGAATAATGTAGCTTTGCAGCTGCCTCATCATCCCCACAAGACAATTAGTTGTTGTTTGGCAAGGATCTTTTAAGAACGTCATTGAGACAGAAAGGGAATGGCCTGGATAGCCACGGACTTTTAAAAGCATGGGATGGAAAATACACAACGCCATTAAAACTTGAGAAAATCTGGAATGGTCATTAAAAGGAATGAAGTTGGGAAGTAATTTATGACAAGAACACTCAAATCCTTTGCTATATTCTCTTAACTATTATACGCTTCCTGCACACTGGGTATATGAGAGGGTATGTAACAGAAAGAAAGAAAAATTAAGCATAGTAAAATTAACTCGTTTTATCAATTTGTGCTTTCTGCAACAGTTTCCTGACAGCAGCTACAAGAGGCCGTAAAACTGATGAATTTGCATGGAAAAGAAACCAGTGTAAGTAATTTGTGTAAAAGGTAACACGGACATGGACTGCTATAATTCAGACACCCTGCAGATAGCAGACTGCTGCAGTGTGAGCAGTTATGGGTTAGAAAAATGACCACACTGCAGTCAGTCTGACTTGAATGGAAATCAATCATAAAGGTACTCTCTGCAGCATCTACTGCACAGTTTTCAGCAACTTCCTCGCCAAACAGATTTGTGCTCTGTAAACCCTTTGCTGATCAATTCCTCTGCACCCTCTACCTACCAAAGCCTCACTTACAGGTTAAGCATGCTATTTTCCAAACAGGAACATAAAAAGGCAAGCACTAAATTAAAGCACCGTTTCTTTCTGAGCCACGATGAATTTCCTAGGGATTACAAGATTTATGAAACAGTTTTATTCCAAACAGCTATGGAAGAAAAACTGGTACGTGGGTAACGCAACGCTTCTCTTCTTTCTTTCACCCTCTCTCTGTTTATCATTCTCTCCCCAAATCCTGGACATTTCTGTTCCAACCCTTGAATTGGCCCTATAGGAAAATGAGATGTATCTCCAGAGCAAGGGTGAGGTAGGAACAACGTATTGCTAACGCTGTGTAAACTCAGCACAAAGTAGAAAGGGCTAAGCACACAGTAATTTTCGCCCGGGTGGCAAACACAGAGGATGCTTTGTTTGTTATAGGCCAAACCACCTTGCCACACTCAAGAGCCTGTTTGCAACCTAAGGGTTAAAGAATGAATCCCACCTGATATATACCAACAGACCGAAGCAGCAGAGGTTCAAGTGCCTGGCTGGCCTATGGCGGCGAGTACCCCGAGCCCCTTGGCAGTCCTTACACAGGAGA